AAAATATAAAATAGTTTTTATTGTTTTATTATCTCTGAATTATTTGAAAACTACGAGAGTTTAGTAGGTTATGTATTTGCTTATACTTGAAATAATTAAGGTATTTCAAGCGGTTATGAATTTTTCAGATACGCACATATTACTTTGCTCAATCTTATTTATTGCATGAATTGATATATAAAGTTAACACTCTCATGACTTAGAATTTGAGAAGTTGTGGGAGCTTTGTTTTTCCATCCAATCTTCAACCATAACTACTTGGAGAAGACAATTCATATTCTTGGCTCTACCATATTCTTTCTCGAGAGAAACTCCATGCTTGTGGCCGAGATTGCTCTGTTTTGAGCAAAGAGCTTCCTTGTAGAGACCCAATTTAGAATCTTCATCAAGATTTGATTTTGATTGATTAGTTGAACAGTAGGTGGCGTCAAGGAGGGTGAAGAGCGATGGTCAGTGTGGATTGTAAAAGCGAGAATGTCAAAAGTTGAGGGATACGTTAGTGTGTAAAAAGCAAGTTGAGATAGAATCAACATGCGAAAAAAAAAAAAGCTAAAAGAGCAGAGGAATATTCGTGTTCGCATTCGATGTTCAATCAATCATGATGCTCATCAGTGCTCAAGCTAATCGAAGCCCTTTACTTTATTTTAAAATGATTTCTGTGGTTTATTTTAAATTTATTTTTAAATATTTTTAATATTATATTTATTAAAATAAAAATTTACAAATATTATTTAAAAATTAACATTAAATTTATATTATCTATAATATATCTAAATGGTCAATTTATAAAAAATTAATATTAAAGTGTACCATCTAAATTATATATGTATTGTTTAAAGTGTATTTGAATAATTAATTTATAAAATTATAAAAAATTTAACATTAAATTTAGAAGTCCACATTAAGAGCTCTCTTGTTTTAACTTATTTTATTAAAAAAATAACTTATTTTTGAAAAAAAATTATTTTGTAAGTTTTTACTATGTTTGTTTCAAATTTTTTTATAATAATTAGAATAAAAAAATTTTAATTATTTTAAGAAGCTATTTAAAGTAGCTTTTTAAAATAATCTAATATAGTAAATGAAAGGGTGTGTTTTAAAGAGATGAGATAAGCAAAAATATCATGAAATTTTGAAATAATAGAATGAAAAATTAAGAAAAATATCATAAAATTTAAAATACCTAACTAAAAATTACTTTATTATTAGTATAACTAAATATAAAATAATATCTATTTTTTATAAAATCTCTATAAAATAAATATCTTTTTATAAAATTTTTATATTATCTAAAATTATTTTTTAATTTTAAAACAAACGGGCCATAAATATGTATTAGTCAGATTGATGATAAACAAATTTATTAAAAAATTTTATTTTTATTTTGATAAATATAAAAATAAAAAAAAGCTTTAAGTGGGAACCATCCATATCTCATATGGGTGATGAATGACTTGGTGCTCATCCCCTAACTAGTATAAAAGATAGTCCAGATTTAATATTAATTTTTTTAACTTTTTATTCTAATAAATACAATATTAAAAATTACATAAAAACTAATTTAAAATAAAACAACAGGGATCATTTTAAAATAAAATGAATCGGTCAGCCTAAACACTGATGAGGATGCAGCGCTTATTAGGTTATGAATCTGGAATATTGCGTGCAAGGTTAGAAAAGAGTATAGGAATTTTTCATCTTTCTCTTTAATAAAAGGTGATTTTTTATATTGTAAATAAATGTAATATAATTTTTGAATTTTTTAAAATCTCTGCAAAATATATCATTTTTATAATATTTTTTAAATTACTAAAAATAGCTTATTTTTTTAATTTTAAGCAAACAGGACTAATAATCGAAAGAATTTCTAGAAGTTACCCAAATAAACAAAGATTTATTTTTGAAAATAATTCCAAAAGATAGTATGAAATACTCAATTGAGACATAATCCTAAATTTAAAAATATAAATTACCCTACAAGCATAAATTTTGCTAGGATCCATAGGCGCTTGTGCCCTCATAAAGACCAAGAATTTTCAAGAAATTGGCAGCATAACAATAACATAGAGAAATTAATATAATTCCGAAGACTAAAAATATTATCTTTTGTTTATATCAGAACTTTATCCCTCGCATAGCATAATAGAGAAATGGATAAATGTATAAATTTAGTCCTCAATTATTTTTTCAGAAGCATTAGTTTGCCTATACTATAAGGTGATGTGAAATAAATTATCAACTTTAAAATATAGAACATCTAATAGCCTCCATTAACTTTTATTTGACGAACCTTAACTTTTCATGTGGGACCCACATTTTTTGATTGAGCATGACTCATGGCACTTCATCTCCGCAAATAAATGTGCAAATTTAGTTATAAACTATTTTTAAAGAATTATTGGATAGCTTCTATTATAAAAAAGAAAACCACCCAGCACCTTCCTATCAATTTTGACTAAACATGTTTATGTTCAGAGTTATGGGACTTACAACACATCAATCTCTCCAATTTTTTTTTTTTTGCCTTCATTCTCAATCTCAACTCAAGAAGAAAAGGCTAAAGGAGTTCTTGTTTGAAAAAATTTACAAAAATGATGCCAACGAAATAGAAGAGGAAGAGAAAAAGGATAAGGTTTCGTTTAAATCTATGTCACGATTCAAGCAAAGTGACAATTTGAATTGCAATATTACTAGATATGAGAAGAGCTTGATTCAATCGCTTCATTTTTTATAAAAATTAAGTCGATAGGATGGGTCTTTTGTAGTATTCACCATCACCTTCTTGGTTCATCTTGCTAGCCAAGGATGGCACTAACTGTGAGAAGTCTTCTACTGTCACGAACTCCTCTGCTGTCTCGGATGATGGTGGCTGAATGCTTTGCTATTGCTATTATGCATTTTAGCTTTCTATCGTTGCTTTTCTTGTTTGCCTTAGTTGGCTTTTGCTTAGATACTTTGTGTTGTACTACACGTTTTTAGTTTCTGAAGTTTGGAATGAAAGTATTCCGTTGGGGAGAGAAAAAAAAAAAAAACACCCACTAACTTCTACTTTAAACCACTAGACATCTAAAAAAACATCTAATCAAATTTATGAAATAAATTCAACCTGTTTTTTAAATTAAAGTGGATTTTATAACATTTGAACAAGAAAGCTGCGTGTCATTCCTGTACATTTGGTACAAAATTTGATGATAATTTTTTAAGAAAGGAAAGTTCAATTAAGTTGGATTTCATAGACTAAACAAGATCGTAATATGCCTTTAAGTTTAAAAAAATACTTATAGTTATACTTATAGATTGTTCAAAGATAAAAATTTTCATATTGACATGAAATTTAATCTTACAATCGTGTGAGTTATGCATCAAATTCTTACTAACTATAATAAACTTTTGCTAATAAAACTAATATTGATGATGTTTTAATTCGTGTGTCTTTTTTTTGAATTCAAATGTAATTATATTATAAAAAAGTAAAAAGTACACAGAAAGTCATAACAAAATTAAAACTCCAAATTAAGGCATATAGAATCAGGGAGATTGGGGAATGGGAAACACATGAGAACAAAAAAAGTAAGGCGAGGGAAGAATCGAAGAAATGAGAAAATTCCTGAATTGACTACGCAGCTTTGCTCTTCTATTATTGAAATCTGAAAATGGAGTCTCTGATGACAAGTTATGTGTAGATCTTCGTAGTAATCGGCAATGTAGGCAAGGATCCCTAAAATGTGGGAGTAAAGACAGGAATTTTAGAAATAAGAAAAATTGCTTCTTTTCTTTTTTCTCCAGCTGATCGTTTGTAAGATTTAATTTTGAAAGGAAATAAAGATCAAGAAAATTGTATGGTCAGAGGCATTCTTTTTCTGACTACAAATACTCCAACTGATTGATGGTTGATGACTACAGCTCCTTGAAAGAGGTAACCCAGGTGTCCTTTTAAGGATTGTTAACGTCAAAAATTTAAGTTACAATCTATTTTTACAAATATGATGCAATTCTTAGATCACATCAGATGGTTGGCAAGAAATACCATCGGGCGAAGAAAAGAAGCATTTCTCTTCCTCCAAATAAGTAAAATCAAAATGATGAATTGTTTGATGGTGTTAATTTGATTATCATCAAAAAGAGATGACAGGGCAATCAAAAGATTTTGAAAATTACCTTTTGGCAGCAAGGTATCAGTTTTGACTGATAAAGTACTAAACCAGATTGTTAAGAAGAAAGGGCAAGTGACAAAAGTATGATCAATAGATTTTTCATCGTCACAACACAACCAAGAACACATTTGGTGTTGCTCAACAAATGGTGATGCTTTAAAATATCACCCGTTGGAATAGCTTTGGTAAATACCTTTCATGTGAGTAGAAGGAATTTCCTAGGTAAATTAAGTTTCCAAAATACTTTCCAAGAAAAAGGGTTCTTATTATCAAAAGAAATCTCTTGTGTCGATGCTTATAAAAAACCTACTTTGACAAGATAGTTACTTGAAAGGCTGTCTAGCAATGTCAATTTATCTTTTGATTTTAAGTAGAGATTGGAGACTTAAGAATTTGATGCAAATCAATAAAATTGTAAAAACCTAGCAATATAATCTTTATTCTATTTATTTAATATTAAAAAAATTAACTGTTTAAAATATATGTGTATTATTCAAAGTATATATAAATAATCAATTTAAATTTTTAATATTAAATTTGGACTATCATGTTAACAAGCATATTTATTAAATTTTTTTATAATTTTCATATATTTTTATTTTAATATGTATAAAATAAAAATAAAACATAAAAATATTAAATTTAAACTATTTAAATTAAATCCAAACGATTCAAATTTAATAGAAAGTGAGAGCAGATGGAGGGAAAAGTGTAGGGGCTGGGGGAGCCAATTTTTAAATAAACAGCCCTCTCCAAGTCTGAACTCAAGCGTTCTTCTGTACAATCCTACACCATGAGAAGCCGTAACACATCGATTCATCAAATAGTATGTTGCCACGTCAAATTAACGAACGGGCACGTTTCATTTTTCTCGAATGTAGGAGCATTTCCAGCATCGCATCCCCCTTAAACATGCCAATTGAACCATAGAGGGAACACTCTGGATTGTGTGATGCACCCTGCCACTGTGCGCCTTCATCCTTTTCCGACTAAAACCAAAACGCTTTTCTGAGTGCGCAGAGAGAGAGAGAGAGAGAGAGAGAGAGAGTCGAACTTTTTTGATTCCAAATTCCGCAAATTCGTTAACTATTTTTTTTTTTCCCGCGAATTCCTTTTTCGCGTCCTAAATTTCTCACGTAAATCAAAGCGGCGATTGGGGATTTCGTTCGATCACTTTGTGCATGAATTTTGAATTCCCGTAAGTTCCACCTCATGGTGGCGACCGTGACGGCGGGGAAGAGCCTCCAGGTGTCGCCGACGAGCTCGAGGTCGGTCACAGAGACGGTGAATGGGTCGCACAAGTTTGTGATTCAGGGGTATTCTTTGGCGAAAGGGATGGGAGTTGGAAAGCACATTTCGAGCGATTTGTTCTCTGTTGGAGGTTATGATTGGGCGATTTACTTCTATCCTGACGGCAAGAACCCCGAGGACAATTCAGCGTACGTTTCGGTTTTCATCGCTTTAGCCAGCGAGGGCACCGATGTGAGGGCACTGTTTGAGCTCACACTTGTGGACCAGAGCGGGCAAGGGAAGCACAAGGTTCACAGCCATTTTGACCGGTCTCTTGAGAGCGGTCCATATACGCTCAAATACAAGGGTAGCATGTGGTATGGTTTCCAATCGACTACTCATTTCTAAGAGTACATTGATAATTTGATTTCTATATTATTAAATTCATTGAGTTTTAGTATTTGAAAATTAGCAAGGTACCCCCCTCTGGCCATGAAGCAATCACACAGGTTAATGCTTAGAAATACTAATTCGAATAACAAACTGAGGTGCATACTACATTTTCCTGGAGCGATTATACTTATTCAGCTCTAGTATTGCCATTTTGATTTTACGTTGCACCATCTTTGATATGTTACCTGTCATATGGAGATATAACAAGCCTGGTTAAATCTTGGACAACTAGAATTTTTAATAGGAAACTGAGGGAGTATAGCACATCCCATGTCTTGAACCCTTAACCTCACAGAACATCCACAGAGAACGTTCCAGAACGCCACGGGGCAGACTGGTAACAACTATAATGTTTAAAGGCAAAAAAGTCTTATTATATTTGTTGTAACAATAGTAACACCATAAACCTCATTGCTTTCAGTGCTTTGTTCTACATTTATCCCTCAGGGGTGAAAGTTAAAAGAAATGGGAGAAAATCTTGAAATCATAATTATTATAGTCTGTTGTCTTAAATTAATGAAGCTGTTCTTCCGGTTGTTCACACGTTTGTCTCATATTAATCTAAGTCAATCAGTTGATTGAGGGAAAAGGTTTAGCTAGGTTAGTTCAGGCCTACAAGAATCAGACTGGGAACCTCATGAATTTTCCACTCTTTGCTAGTTATCATAGAGCTGTTTATGCATAGCACTCAGCAGACATCTTTCTATTTAACCTTTCTAGGCAATAGATGTGTGACCTTATACATAGGAATTAAGTGGGGAAACATTGAGGGAAAAATTTTAATTCTATAGCTCATACTTTGTTGAATCTATTTGTATAAGAAACGTCAAAATTCCTCTTTAAACCCATCATAAATGCTTTGTGTTGATGTCATCGCCAAATTTGAGGCCGCAGTTCTGCATCAAAGAAGAGAGTGTCCTTAAAATTCCAGTTTGTAGCTTTCTCTTTCCACCTCAATCGTGACATAGCACAACTCCGTGCACGTGAGATTATAACTAACTCCCAAAATTCTTCAGCTGTACAATAAAGACGAAAGGTGCGTCAAAATATTTCACTTTGTCTTGTCTTGCCTTGTCATGTCAGCTGGGAGGGTATTTTATTTTCCAATAAGTAGAACTTTACTTTTGCTCTGATAATTTTTCATTTTATAAAATTAAAAAAGAGACGAAAAGTTTGATAAACAATTCTTTGTTTTTTGTCCAGTGCAATGTAAAATTATTGTTGTTCTCTGCTTCTCTTTTCAATATCATCATACATTCTCGTAGAATATTTTTTTCTATGGTAGAGGAACTTTCTTTTGTTTGTTAATTTAATAATTTCCTCATACTGTTAAACTGTGAAAGTTCCATTTATATTGGGAACCAACACCTGTCTTCTGTAGTTCTGTGCCATAACTTACTATTCAATGTACAAGGAAAGTGACCAAGGCTCTGCCTTTCAATCGATCCCAAAACTGAAAATTGAACTTAGCAGCACCTTGTATAAGTGGATGCCCTTTATTTATTTTGTTAACTATTTTGTTTCTTGCCTAGAAGGACTGACACAGTTGCCAGCTGGCATATCTGAACTTGTCTTTTCTTTGACTTGATACTCTAACAATGTGATCAAATGCATAAGGAATTTTTTTTTTGTCTGTTAATCGTTGCTGTTAGACATTTGTGGGACATTTTGTTTCTCTTGTGTTTATTTTAGGGGATACAAGCGATTTTTTAGACGGTCTTTGCTTGAAACCTCTGACTACCTCAAGGGTGATTGCTTGAAAATCAACTGTACAGTAGGAGTTGTGGTTTCAGTTATAGATTGTCCACAGCTTAATGTGATAAAGGTCCCAGAATCTGACATGGGAGCACAGTTTGGAGTGCTATTGGAAAATGTGGAAGGTTCAGATGTTACTTTTAATATTTCTGGAGAAAAGATCCCTGCTCATAAGTTGGTGTTGGCTGCTAGATCCCCAAAATTTTGGTCTAGATTTTTTGATGTTTCAGATGATGATACACAAGAGATTTTCATAAGAGATATAGAACCTAAGGTTTTTAAGGTAGAAACTTCTTCTGTTGTTTATTTACTACCCTTTTTTTTCCCTCTTTGCCAGTTAGTGTTACTCGGGTTAGAAATTTGATTTTGGTGGAAGTGTTTTGCTTTTGGTCGTGTTTTTCTTCTTTGTGATTAATTTCTAATATTTTTTCTTTGACAGGCGATGCTGCACTTTATGTATAGGGATACCTTCACAGAAGATGTGGACATGGATCTTTCAACCTCAACTAGCGAATCCATGGTGTCTGAGACATTGGCAGCGAAGTTGTTGGCTGCAGCAGACAATTATGGATTGGAGAGGCTTAAACTGATTTGTGAATCTCGACTCTGCAAGGACATCTATGTGAGCTCTGTAGCTGACATTTTAACCTTGGCTGACCAATGCCATGCCATGGAGTTAAAAGCTGTTTGCCTAAAATTTGCTGCTTATAATCTAGCAGGTACATTTAGTTGGGCATTATTTACATACCTGAACTGTATTTTCATGCGTGATATCTTGTAAAGTTATCAAGCAGTATCAGCCTTCAGCCACCTGAGATTCAGTCAAAACAGAAGTCAAAATTAAATTGGAATTGAACTTGGACACACACAGCAAAGCCATTTCTATTGTGTATTCTTATTGCGACTTGGAAGAAGGAAACTTTAACACTTGTGCGAGAATTATAATTTTCCTTTATCTACGAGGTTACAACTTTTCAAGTTCTTTAAAATCATGATTCTTTTTCTGTCTTGTTGCAGCCGTGATGAGGTCAGACAGTTTTGAGCGCCTGAAAGAAAAATGCCCTTGGCTACAGTCCGAGATCCTGAAGACAATTGCTGGGTATGAGGGTGATAGCAGCAGTGCAGAGGGGAAGTCTCGGAGCGTATGGGCTCAGCTTTCAGATGGTGGTGATACAAATGGTAGGAGGGTCAGGCTGAGAATCTGATCTATGTAGCGAAGGGCATGAAGAGGGAAGATTCTTTTCTGTCCAACTCTGGCATGATATGATGATAACTGGTCTTAAAAAAGCAGTTGAGCTACATGTTATGCTGGACATTGTAAATGTCACCAAGGACTTTTTTTGGGGGGCCAGAACTGTTTATTTGTTGCCGAGGAATAGAAGTTAATGGAAAAGGGTGAACTAGATAGGGGATTGACCCTCTTTATCTCAGCCATCTTCTGTCTTTCCTAGGTTTTCTAACTCGAACCCTCATTTTTGCACATTTAATTGCTCCGTTTGGTTAACAGGGTATGAAAAATCTTTCAAGTTATTACCCCACCAACATCCTATGCATTTTACCTTGTAGAGGAAGCGTCCTAACAGCTCAAGGTGTCTGTAAAAGTTGCCTTGACTTGTGATAATATCCTGGAGAAAGATGACGATTGCTTTGCTTGCTTTGATGTCTAACATATAGAGCATGACTGTCTCCACGATCTTGATTGGTAGTTAGAGGGTTTTTGGAGAGGAAGGGAGATTATAATTACTTTGATTTTTAAAAAATGGAGAAGTTGAATTAAATAAAAAAATCAATTTTCCTTCCTCTTATAATTTACATCTTTCTTATTAAAATTTCATAACTACATGTAGCCATTTTTTTGAAAAATAAATTCGTTATAAACTTTTCTCTTTTTCAAAACCGTCCAGCCAAACAATGGTTGGTATTTCCTTGCCTAAGACCGCGAAGAGAAAAAAGTTGGACAGGATTCCTATTCGAGCCCCAATCGTACCCCTTGCATTGCTTATAATAAATTACAGGAGGTTTGACACCTTGTGCAAATTAAAATCAACTTTACATAATACAATATATGCAAATGATATATATTTTTATAATATTTCTATTTTTTAAGATATTAATTAGATTATACTTTTAAAGAAACTAACCTGTGGATTGACTTATACATTAAGTGAATGAGGATAGCTTTGATATTAAAATTTTAAATAATTTGTTGGTAAGTTGAATGATTTTTCTTTACCTGAATATTCTTTGATTTGTTTGTAATGGCAGGATAAAATGGGAAAATAAAAAATGGGAAAATGAAGTGGTAGTGGTGGCAAGACAAGGAAAAACACCCAAAAAGAAAAGCATTTAAATTTCATTGTCTATGTGAGAATTTTGTTGATGGGCGATATATAAGTATTTTTGTAAGTATTTTTTTGATCTGGAAGCATATTGAGGTTTTAATGAGCTTTTTAACTTAACTCACTTCAACTTTTTAATATAAAAAATAAAAGAAAAGAAAATCTAATTTGCATTGCACATACTGCATCTCTGTTTTGGTGGCCAAAGCAAGTTTTGCAAGTTCTCAACCAGTTTGAAGATAAGTAAAAAGGTTTATTTGGTTTTGGAGGGTCTATCTATTTCCTCTCTTTTGAGTTTTAGGCTCTGTTTGGTTGGAGGGGAGGGGAGGGGAGGGGAGGGAGGGGAGGGGAGGGGTTCCATTTCTCTCATTTGGTTTAATTTTTGGAGCTCCCCTCCCCTCCCCTTATTTTGGCTCCCTCCAAATTGGGGTTTTTTGGAGGGAGAGGTAAATTTATTGACTAATTTACCCTCATTATTTTTATAAAATTACGTTATTGCCCTTGAAACATAATAAATACGTTCGGCTTTCTTTTTCTTCCAGGAGCTCGGTCTGTCTCCAGCGTCTTCTCAGTCTGTCGGAGCTCTCGGTCTGTCGGAGTTCTCACCGTGCGTCTGGTCTGCCGTGCGTCTGGTCTACCGTGCTCGAAGCCCCGCCGTGCGTTATCCCATCAGGTCCTCCTCTTCGAAGCTCTTACCGTGCATTCTCAGGTCAGATGCGTTTTCTTTTCGTTCGGACCCTGTTTTGAGATATGTGGTTGTTCTGCTTGTTCTGGTTTTCTTTCCGTTCGAAGCTCTCACCTCGTTTTCGTTAGATGCGTGGCTTTGTTCTGGTTGTTCTGTTCTGAGCTCTCGATCTATCTTCTTTGTTCTTTGTTCTGCTTTGTTCCCGTCAGATCACCCTGTTCTTTGTTCTGGGATGTGGCTTTGTTCTTTGATGCCACATCCCTCTTAGCTGCAGCACTGACTAAATCACGTGCACTGTTAGAAACATCAAGAGGTGGGGTTCTTGTTGATGCTGTTAAAATCTGTAAATCTATTGTGAGGACAGTCTCCCAGTAAGGATTTAAATTTTAATTAGCCAAGATCAGCTCCTTTCGCTATATCCAACTGACTGGTTGGTTTCTTTTGGTATTGAATCACCCACAAGTACTGGGGCCCTAGGTGATCTGTGGTGTGAACGTACATAGCCGATCCATGATGATAACTGAATCGTCGCCTTACCAGATTGGAACACATTAATGCCATGCAATAGTATAGACAGAGAGAGAAAGAGAGTACAAGTGTTCATTACAATATTATAGGAATACCCAGCTGCTGAGTGTCTTGAAAACATTTGGGTTCGGTTTCACAGAGCCATCATCAATACTTCATTTTCTATGTTGTGACTTTATCTAAGGTTTCTCTTTTCACGAAAAAGGTTTCTATGTTTTTGTCTTATCAGAGATTGGGATCACTTCTACTATATATCATTTTATTAGTTGTATATGCACATATATATAGTTTCCTTATTCTCCATCACAACATATTCAAACGTTAAAGAGTGGTTTAATTTATAGAATGGTTATTGCAATAATGAAATATGAATATTAAGGCTTGTTTATTGATTTTCATTATTGTTCTTGATTGCTTTGTTAGATGAGCAAGGAATCTGAAAATCTTTTACCGGTGCAACAATGGTTTGAATTGCGTCGAAGAGCACTAGCTCTTCTTGCTTGTGTCTTTGTAAAAGTATGTGCAAGTGACATGTGTTCGAAAAAAATAAGTTACAGTTTGAGTGGCAAGAGAGAAATGGTACGTGATGAAATAATGAGCCGAATTAGCGATTGTCCCTCCAGTCGAAATATCATTAGAATGACTCCTAGAACTTTTTTAGAATTATGTGCTATGTTAGAAAGAGAGGCTGGCCTGCAACCCACGCGATGATCAAGTGTGGAAGAAATGGTTGCAAAAACTCTATATATATTGACACACAATACAAAAAATCGTGAAGTGAATTTTTGGTTTAGGCGTTCTGGTGAGACAATTAGTCGCCATTTTCATCAAGTTTTGACAGCTATCGTTGACTTAGAAGAAAAATTTTTGGTTCAACCTAATGGCTCAACCATTCTTCCTGAAATTGAAAAAGATAAGAAATTCTTCCCATATTTTAAGGATTGTGTCGGTGCTATTGATGGAACACATATACGAGTCAAGGTGCCTTCTTTAGATGCTCCTAGATACCGTGGTAGGAAGGAATTTCCGACACAGAACGTGCTAGCAACATGTACCTTTGATCTAAAGTTCACTTAAGTGCTCCCTGGGTGGGAAGGTACTGCATCTGACTCAAGAATCATTAAGAATGCATTAACACGAGAAGATAAGCTTATAATTCCTGAAGGTAAATATTTTACCAATTTTGATAAAGTTTATATTTGTGAATGTAAAATTATTATAGTAATTATTTTCCTTTATGATAGGTAAATATTACCTTGTCGATACTGGATTCATGTTAACAAGAGGACTTATAACACCTTACCGAGGAGTTCGTTATCATTTGAAAGAATATTCAAAACAGAATCCCCCCCTAAATTATAGAGAGTTATTTAACCTTCGACATGCAAGGTTACGCAATGCCATTGAACATGCTTTTGGTGTTTTGAAAAAAAGATTTTCCATTCTATCCAATGTAACTGAACCTACATATGGAATCAAAGCACAAAAAATGATAATATATGTATGTTGCATTCTTCATAACTTCCTTATGAGTATGGACCTTATTAAAGATCTTTTAGAGGAAGTTGATGCTGTTCTTACAAGAGAAAACCATTCAAATGATAATAACCGTGCTCAAAGAGGGGACAATAATGAGGCTGCTCGAGGTGAACTTATTAGAGAAAATATAGCCACTCAGATGTGGGCAGATTATCAGGAACATCTAACTGCTCTTGAGGATGAACTTGATGATTGAATTTTGATTTTCTCAATAAGTTAGACTCTATTGTATCATTATAGACATTTAAATATGTTGTATTATTACATTGACTTATATTGAGTTTAATTGAGGTTTGATCAGATATTAAAATTTATTGTTTTATTGACTTTTATTTGCTTTGTATTATTTGTTTAGTTTGCTATTGAAATTTGATTAGTTTTTCATATTAGGATTGGTATTATGTGATTATATTGTTATATGATAGGATGGCACCAAACAATAATAAGGAGATTGTGAATTGGACAAGATTAATGGATGATGCCCTCATTGATGCTTTCATGAATGAATATAATGAGGGTTACAAAGTTAATGGCACTTTTACAACTACAGCTTATGATAACATATGTAAATATTTGAGTGCTTTATTCGGTAAACAAATTGACAAGGAAAAGGTGAAAAATCGATGGAAGACTTTAAAGAAAAACTTTTCAGATGTTTATGACATTTTCAAAAGTTTGAGTGGGTTCGCTTGGAATCCAATAACTCAAGTATGGGATGCTGTGCTTGAAGTTTGGGATGCATTAATTGAGGTAAATTTCTTACATATGCATTGATTATATTATTATTTGAAAATGAAAAAGTATGCATTTGCAATTGAATTGCTTTTGTAATTTCACTTGTTTCAGGCTAAACCTAAAGCAGCATTGTGGAGAACTACTCCTTTTCCAAACTACTAAAAAATGATGATATTATATGGAGTAGATAGAGCTAATGGAGATGAGAGTGAGACAGCCCGTGAGTGGAGAAAGAGACGTCGTTCTCAGGAAGAAGTCACTGAAACCGTCAATGACATTAACAATATTGTCTCACAAAATAGAGCCACAATTAATGTTGAGCTTGATGGACAAGAAAACTCACCGAGACAAGAAAACTCACCTGATCAAGAGCACTCACCCACTATTAATAGTGCATGTAGTAAGAAGACAAAAAGGGTGTCTAAGGAGAAGGAGGCTAGTATAAATGAGTTGACAAGAGCAGTGTTAGCTGTGGCTGAGGCAATTCAACAAGGAAATGTGATGATAGGACAAAGTTTCAAGAAGGTGCCACAATTGTCAGGTGAAGAAATTTGGAAAATGCTTGAAGAGTGTGGGATTGATGCTGCAAGATTACCTGACATATATTGGTTTCTTATGGCTGATAATGATAGGCTTAGAGCAGCAACTCAATGTCCAGCACCAGTACGAAAGGATGTGATAATGAGGATGTTTTATAGTTCTAATTAGATGATGACTTTTATTAATAATTTTTGTATATTTTGTTAGCTAAATGTCAAAATGTGATTCTTAAACATGATCAATATATTAGATGTTATTACCCAATATATTTTGTTATTAATGATGGCAATTATTATTCAATTGTTATTAAAGACTAGCATTGTCTTGTGTAAATTGGGGGCATAAAATCATTAGTTTCATTGATTTTTTTCACAAAGTATTGTTTAATATTTAGATTAATTTACTAATAAGATTATTTAATAGTATTATTTAATTTACTTATTTGGGGTGAAGAAGAAAAAAAAATTGACAAGATTAGGGTAATTTAAAAATAAATTATACAATTTTAGTTTATATGTAAAATAGATTTGTGTGATAAAAAGATAAAAAAAATTATTGTACAAGGGTATAATGGTAATTTAATTATTACCTCCCCTCCCCTCCCCTCCCCTCCTAAACCAAACAAAGGATCATTAAAAATTCCTCCCCTCCCCTCCCCTCTAATCAAACCGAATAAAGTAGCTTAGAAACCCTCCCCTCCCCTCCCTGCATCCCCTCAAACCAACCATAGCGTTAACAATACAATTAAAAGGTAAATTTGAAGGGTTTTCTTTCTTTTGGGTTTTTTACTTTTTTTTTTTTTTGGTTTTTGCCAAAAAATTTGGAGGGTTTTGGAAGGCAGCACAGAATCAGTTCTGGTCTTCCAATCGCCCTCAGGCCTCGCGCCCGTCGCCACTCGCTTCCCTCACTGTCGCCCTCTTCTGGCCGCTGTCGAAGTCCATGGTGAGATCTCTTTCCTATGGCCGCCGTCATTGGGTTGACTTCAAATGTACTCAATTTTTTAGCTACACACTGACATCCTCTAATTCCTTTGGAAGGTGTTGTAGTTTTGATACTGTGGAACTTCATGGGTTATCTTTCGTATGGCAGACACGCTCTTCAGCATATTATTAGAAATGCGAACCCCAAAAGCTCTTCTCATACTGTGGTTAACCCACTGCTATACGCTTGTCAAGGACTTAGATACAGAAAACTGGAAGTCATCCTTGCAACGGTGAAGTCTATATTCTTTTGTTGTTTTGTATTTTGAAAAACCTTATTTCTTGTATCTTTACTATCAGTTTCTCTAATTAACCTTGATAAGTATATGCGTTTTACAACTGAACATCATACGTTTCTATCCTCTTGTTTCTGTATTCGATTCTTTTAATTAATTTGTGTATCCTCTCTCTCTCTCTCTCTCTCTTGCTGTGGATGTTGCAACTGCAAATATAGAATATAGATAAGCTTGGGAAGGCAGGTGAGACAGTGAAAGTTGCTCCTGGATATTTTCGCAACCACCTAATGCCCAAGCTACTTGCTGTGCCAAATACTGACAAGTTTGCTTATCTCATCAGGGAGCAGCGCAAGGTTTTTGTCTTTTGAACTAATCTCATCAGTAAATTGATGTTTGTATCCTGGGCCTTAAAATGTGGTCATTTATCATTATGGATATTTAACTCTACAGTGCTTGAATTGATCCAAACAAATATTCATCAAATTACACGAGGGAGAAAATCTCTGTCATCTGGTGCCGAGACTTCCTAGCGTATTTACTTAACATATGGATTGCTGTTTAAGATTACTCTTGTGCTTTTTCAGACCTGTGCTTTTTACAATCTTCTGAATTGAGTTGTTATATGTTTCCAGTTTTCTGTCAAATATCTGCTACGTGAGAGAACATAATTTTTTTAATATTATTTTTTATATCTTCTAATAAAATTCAATGTCATCGTGTAAACTATGTATCTGAGCTCACTCAGTGGTATAATGCTTGTTGTTGTTGTTGTTTTAAAGAGTTCATGTATTTTTGGTGAATCTTATTTTTACCTTAGGTGTGCATGTGCCTGTGTGAAGTATAGAATAAAGATATTATGCTTGTTCCTTCTGGCACTGACAACTGTTTATTGGCAATCTTCTTATTTTCTTCAGTTCAAAACTTAATGAAGTAAATTGCATCAATACAAGTTGAAGGAACTTGTTATTCTATGTGGAATTTGTTATCTTATGCAGAAGCTCTTAGATTGATTTTTAACTAGAGACGATATCGTGACTTGTGAATATGATGACTTCTTGTCAATTTCTTCACACACACACACACACACACACATTTTTTGAACGAAAAATCAATTTCTTCATATATAAAGATGCATGTTTGATTAGTGTTGCTATATGCATGGGGTGCGCACGCGCGCTCACACACACACACACAACCCTTACTTGATCTAATTTTTGTCATTTTAATTCAAAACCATATTTAAGCAGCCAGGCTCCTTAGCTTTTATTCATCGCTCACTAGCAGTTTCTTGTCATTAACGGTTCAGATCTACAAACCTGTTGCTGAAGAAGAAGGAGAAGAAGAAAAAGAAGTTAAATTATCTGAAGATTCAAAAGAAGTTAAAATGAGAGAGTATGAAAAGGCAGCAGTACGCCTCGTGAAAGCCAAGCTGGTTAGTAGCAGCTTAACCTTCAGATCTTTTCATCACTGATGAAGACTATGTCTATTATTCTGTTTTTCACATCATTTTTCTCCCTCGATCATAGTTTCTTTATGTTTGTTATTCTCCTTCGTAATTATGGGGGAAAAACTGTTCTCAGATGTGATAAAAGTGTAGTATTAGCTTGACAAGCTAGTTGTCTTCTTGTGTCACACAAAAATGTATTTCTTTTCACATTGATCTGGATGTGATAAATACCAGGTCTTGCGGAGGATCATTGACGCCCAGAAAGCAAAGTCACGTGAAAAGAAAGATGAGCCCTTGGAATTGCGTTCAGCTGTAACAAAAGATGTTATTGTGGCTGAGGTAATAATAGTTTGTCTTGGTAATTTAATTTTTCATGATATTAACAATTCAGTCTGCTGAGCATATTTTCCATGATATAGTCAATTTGTCTGCATGTTTTTTTTTTTTTCTGGTTTGATTTTTCACGTAGGAAGGCTGACCTCAGATTCCAACTCATACCTTTATTTTTTGGATGGACTGTTTTTGCTGTATTATTGTTGCCTTTATTCGTTGAATTGAAGAAATCAGTGACATCTTACATGTAATCCTTTCCATGGAAAGGTGGATTGCTGGGGGTAGAGTAAGGCTATGTTTGGTAAGTTGGAATGAATTTTGAAGGAATGGAACTGGAATGGGAATGGGAATGAGTTTTAAAAACATGTTTGGTTTGCCATGGGAATGCTTGAATAATTTTTATTTAATATTTATAATTATAATATCAAAATACAATATTACCCTTGCTCATGCCAAAAAAGGGAAAAGAAAAGGGGAAGCAAATCCACGGTTACAGTTCACAACCCAACACCTTCTCCCATTTAATTGACCTTCCTCAACCATGGCAGTAACTGGAGGCACGATTGCATATCAAAATCCAGATATTCTCACTTCTGGAAATCAAATCCATCAAGATATTCAAATCTAAACACATAATACCTGAATCATTAGATCAATATATGCAAGATTAGAAAGGGGGGAAACCTTGTAATGAAGTAGATATGAAAATGGTGATGAAGGAAGGTCAATGAAGAAGGATTGTGACAAAAGCTTGTGAACGATGATGAATATGCAAACAGCGACAAAGGTGGAGACTTGTGACATCGGAAAGAAGGAAGAAGAGGCAGTGACCGTCACTGGGCAGCAACTTGCAATATTCGAATGACTGTGCCCAGGAGGTTAAGGATGAGGAGGAGTAGGATGGCAAGGGTTGCCGGGAAGAAGGCCAGACGGCAAGAATTGATGGAGAAGAAGGTTGGACAGCCATGAAGAAGGCTGGTGACAGAGAAGGTGCTGAAGGGAGGGGCAAGAGCTGGACGGAGTGACTTGTGAAATTAGGGCAAAAATAAGAGGGATAGTTGTGTATATACAATTATTAACCAGAGATATTTTTGTTCATAAAATTTCATTCCTGAGGAATGGATCCCATTCCCATGGTATGGTGATGGAATGAAGATTACCTCAACTGAGGTAATGGGCCATTTCTTCTCACATTCTCATTCCATCACCCCTCATTCCATTATACCAAACAAGGCCTTAAGGAGAAACCAAGAAATAAGAAAAGGAAAATGAATTAAAAGAAAGAAAGCACCTTGATGTGACAATAAAAAAATATGAAATGACCTATTTCATAAATAATTCTTACCTGGAACTGCCATTCAAATTTCAAATTTCTATGAGCAGATATTTTCAACTTCCTGCTCTCTCCCTCTTATGCCATGGGGAGACCCCCAATTGGAAGGAAGTTAGACTAATCCCATATGCTTGATTTGTTTGGTACTTTTACAAATGTACAGCTGTTTGAAGAAATCAGTGACATCTCACATGTAATCCCTCTTATGCCTCCTATTCTTAAGCTTTATGATTGTAGGTTGTGAAATTTGGTGTATAAGTAATCGGTTGTTAGGCTTTAGCTTTGAGTTTGATTTTATTTTATAATAATAATAATAATTATTTTTTGCTCATTCTGTTTAAGCCCTAAATGTTATCAGTTCACAGAAGAAATTCTGTTTAAGCCCTAAATGTAATCAATTCACAGAAGAAAGAAGCTATTGATTTTTTCCTTGAACTGATCTGGTCTTTATGGCACTTCCAGGTGGCTAGGCAGCTTTGTGTGAACATTGCACCAGAGAACCTGCATCTTCCAACGCCTTTATCAAAGGTGGGTGAATATGAAGTGCCACTGCTCTTGCCAAGGTCCATTCCCCTACCAGAGGGGACCATTAATTGGAGTCTTCAAATAAAAATTCGGAGCAAATAAAACTTTTAGTTTCAATATTTACAGACATTACTTGCTTATTTTCATGGCCTTTTTTTTTTTTTGGGGGGGGGGGGGGAATCCCCAACCATTCGATTTTGACATTATTTATGTGTAACATTCTAGGTGTCGGAAAATCTGGAATCAGATTTACACTTAGTGGCTTGTTCAATACAAATTGAGAATGGAAATAGGAAAACTTTCTCATGAACATGGGAGTTTATCATTTCAATTAAGTCGTTTGGCCACCTATCATGCACAGTAAAAATATTTTTTTTTAACCGCCTTCATTCTTTTTTCTCATGTCTCTTTTCCAGTTACCAAGGGTTAACTGAGGCTTACTGACTAGAATTTTGGTTAGAAAGTAGACACTGGACAGTAGTTTTGAAGAGTGAGGAGTTTGAGCTTGTGCTGATTCAAAGGTGGAGACATCTTGGTTGCGAGTTTTCTTGGATAGGATTCACTTCTATGTGTTGATATCCTGAGTCTATCCCACCTTCAGATTAGGGGACTTTTAACAGAGTTCAGACTAATCAGGATTGAGCTGGGTCGGAATTTTTTCGAGTGGAAGCTCTACCTACAATGCAACTGCATTTTCAGAGCTTGAACTTAAGATTTTTGGTTAAGCTGGTACAATTCTTGGCAGTTAAATGAACTGTCTGATGGTGAAAACAGGAAGATTTGGAGCTAATTAACTTGTGAAAGGGCAGTTTTTTTTGGGTACAAGAGATGGCCAAAGTAAAAGTGTCCCAAAAATAGAGAGATTACACTAGGGGGGATTGAGTTAACCTAGTTTGTCAAAAAGGAAGGAGCTATATCATAAAAAGGAGCAGCAAGTCCTTCTCTGGCCAATAACTCTGCAACTTGGTTCTGCTCGCGAGCCACATGCTGTACATTTATACTTCAATTCCAATGCAGCATGTCAAGAATCGGAAGTAAGACTAGGCTGCGTGATGACCTGGCATTAGTTTCATTCTTTATGAGTTCCACAAGCACACTGCAGTCCGATTCTTTAGCTTTTAGGAATTCTGAGCTTTGCATTCTAGCCTGTATTTTTTCAGGCCCAAAAATTTTTTAGCCATTGCTATTTTTGGTACGATAGGCAAGGAAAAATCTATAAAATGAATAATGGAACTCAAACTGTGAAGCCCGTGACTAGTCTGTTTTATATGGCAAAAAAAGAATCCAACCATATTCCACTTGGTGATATGCTTGTTATCAGTTATCCGGCTCCTCGTCAAGGCATTAAATGGTTGCCACATACTCCAAAATCCTGTCCTATAAAGGCACACCAAACATCAAACTTCGTCATTTTTTATCATCCGGACTACATATTCTATTTTCTATTTATATATTATTTTATATTTCTGTTTTTTTTTTGTGAGCGGTATTTTATATTTCTGTTACATGAAAGTATTACCAAAGTTAAATCATAATTTAAAAAGTTAGATTATGTATCGCATTTATGACGATCAAATCCGATTAATATGAATTATAATACCTATTAGAAACATACTTAAACAAAAGAATGATATCAAACGCTTTTTTTCCGGTTCAAAATATTTTTTAGAGATGTTATGATTATGACAGAGCATTAATGCAAAGATATTTGTTTATGCCGCGGGCACAATCTTGAGGTTTAGATGAAGTTACTAAATTAGGGAAGATTTTTTTCGTTTATATGGCTTTGATGACTGTGTAATATTTGTGTGATATTATACATAAATAATATAACTTATAAACTTTATTTTATATTGTACTCCCTTCCGTCCTAATTATAGAAAAAAAAAACTTTAAAACCCAGTAAAAATATAGTAGTTAATTTATTTTTCTAACATTGCCCTTCTTTAATCGCATGAAGTTATTTGTAAGCTTTTTAATTTTTAAGCACATTTTGTTACTAACATTAATTTCAATGAAAGAAAAAAAAATTAAAAGTAATGTATTTTTGCCAGTTTTATGTATATTTAAATGGAATAAGTCAGAGTAATCTTGCTATGTAATTAAGACCGGAATGAGGATATTAGTTCAGGTAATGATATGTTGTAGTACATTTAGTGATGGTACCTTCGCCCAAGAATAGAGGGTGGGAAGAAGCACTTCACTCACTAGCCAAATCAACCTCAAGATGATGATGACCTGAACCATACCATACACAACCAGTAGGTCCTATTGTTTTCTCGGAGACGGCAAGTTCTTGCTCTTATGGAAACCATACTTCAATCTCTTCCTCTAGTTACTATTCCTAAAGCTCATCACTCCTCCTCCTCTGCCTCTTCATCCGCAATCTTCTTCCATTGCAATGCCTCTTCAGTAGCTTGTACTTCTGCAACTCGTAATTTTCCAAAGGGATTTCTCTCAGTTTGTCCTTCCAGAGCAAAGGACAAGAGTAGCCTCGGGGCTTTATATGCTTCACAAGCTGAAACCCCTCCTACCGAAGCTGCAGAAAGATGGCTTCTTGTTCCTGTTGGTCAGTTGTATCTCTTACTCAATTTAGTCATCTGTAGAAGGAAAAACCTTGATAAATCTTTGTTTTGGGTGTTCTTGCGTTCTATGTAATTAATCCTGATCCATATGTCTATTCGGCTTCTGGGACTGGAAGCTTCCGAAAATTGAAATGCTATGTTGATGGGAAAGTGACATCATTAGCAGTGGGAGACTTATTTCTATTTCTTTCTAATTTTTCCCCTTGTTGGGATGAGGGAGGTACAAAATATTCCTCCTGGTATCTGGACTTGTATGTTTCAAGATATCTCAATCCTTATCCGATGTGGAATGAAGTAGACACCAACAGAACAGTGATGAGCATCTCCTAATTTCTTCAGAGTATGTTTGAGAGTTTATAGACAAGAGAATGGAAAATTTGAGCTAACCCTTCCAAATCATCCATACTCCCCAAAAAAAAGGGGAATTCGGAGCTTAAAGTTTTCCAGCACTAAGGGTATGGAAATTATCATTTAGCCATGGTTCCCCTCCCTCCTCTCATGTTTTCCTTGCATTCCTTCTCTTTCCTTCCCTTTGCAACTCAGAAATATACACTTCTGCTATCCTGGCGTTTTCACTTCAAAACTTGAGGGGAAGTAAATTTTTTCAATTGGTGAAGAATAATGCATTATGAAAAGAGGAAAATATTATTTAATATCTTGCTTTCTGGTAATCATTTGGGATTTAGGAGTTAGTAATTTGATAACAGAGGCAATTTAGCGTTAATCCATCAGTAAATAGGGGATTGTCAATGAAAGTATTTGAGCTTAGTGATATCTTATCCTATATTAGTATTTTCTGAGTTTCATGAGAGTTTCCTGTTACTGCTGATAGCCATTTGCAAAAAATACCTGTCGTATGATTTAATGAGTTGGGTTTTATTTGTAGTGTCTAATGCTTTCTTGGCATTGCCCGTGCTTCTGTTTTGAATACAAACTTTAAATCTGTGGTGGTTAATGAGTAATCGTATCATGTAGTAGGTGCGCAAAAGAAGTGACTTGATAATTACATTAGGAATTTCCTGGATGGTTGTCGATGAATGCATTATCCTCTTTCTGTTGATCTTATACATAATATTTTGTACTCATAGAGACTACAACTTTTCAGGTCTTTCTTTACCTTCTTCAATTACATCTGTGCTCTAGATAGAGTTCCTCAATCAAAAGTGCACAGTTTTAGTGTATTAAAGAGGCTTGTGTTTTAAACCAATCCTTAGATGTTATTCTCTTACAGGATTTAACTTCAAGGGTCCCAAGTTTTAACATGATCATTTAGTTTAAAAGTAGGAAATGTTGTTGTATTTTCAAAAATGATTCAATTTTGTTGTTGTGATGTATGCCCCACCTTAAGAAAATGAAATTAAAAGTTATATAGTAGTGAATGCTGGGCTCTAACGGGACAGCAAGAACATAAAGTTGGAGTAGTAGAGATGAGAATGTTATGATGGATGTGCGGACATACACGTAAAGATAAAATTCGAAATGAGCATGTATGCGAAAAAGTGAGGGTGGCACCTATTGAGGAAAAAATGGTAGAAAATCAGTTGAGATGGTTTGGATATGTACAAAGAAGACCAAGGGAGGCACCAATGAGAAGAGTGGAACATATAACTTTGAGTCCGATTAAGAGAGGTAGAGGAAGGCTTAAGAGAACACTCTTGGAAGTTGTTGAACGCGATCTCTTAATTAATAATAGTCATAAAAGCTTGATAAATGATAGAGCACAATGGCGTCTTGCAATCCATGTAGCCGACTCCACCTAATGGGATAAAGGCTTGTTGTTGTTGTTGTTGATGATGTATGCCCCACCTAGAGGGATAAGGCTTGTTGTTATTGTTGTTGTTGTTGTGATGTCTCTCCATGACTCCATCCAAAATTTAACCATCTACTTGCTTGGATGTCAAACCAAAACATGATTTGATGCTGCACAGTAAATATATTGTGTCTAGGACTTATGTCAACATTTTCTTTCGAGTTTAGAGATTCACATGGTGTTGTATCAGCATTGCAAATATAATCTTGAACATGTTTGGCATGTGATAGGAGATGGTGATTCAAGGCACATAGGCTTCAAGGTTGAGATGCCAGGTGCATATGAAATTGCTTCTGTAAGTAATGATATATCCAGTAAAATTCTTGTCTGCTTCAGTATGCTGTGGATTAACTGTCTTGTTCTGGATATTTTCTAGAGTGATGTGACTGTTGGACGTGTTCCAGAGAAAGCTGATTTGGTAATTCCAGTTGCAACAGGTATTCCTAATCCTGATTATTAATTCTATGGGTGCATTTGGAATCAAATTGATCAAGAATTCAATTGAACAATCACTAGTTTATCTATTCAAAATAAATCTTTAACGTTGTATAATTCCATTGAATTTCATTGATTTTTGAAGTGAAATTCAATTTTAATTTTACGAAAGTATTCTAATGCCACAACTTTGCCTATGATTATAATTGGTCCCAAGCTCAGGTAAAGGAGGAGGGTTATGTTAGGCCTTCAACAGCCAGTGTAAAATTTTATTGAATCTCACATGGCTATGGACAATAGATGTTTTTGTGCTAATGCTAGGTTATCGCTCGTAAGTAATGCACTATATGAGGGGGCAAGACATGTAAGAGGGGCAATAACTGGTATAAGAACATTTGGCGGTAAAACAAAGGGCTTTACCTATAAGGATTGGACTACATCAGGGATCATCTTCGAGTTCTTATTTGTTTGATCTAATCCTAGATGTTTTGACTAAGCATATTCTAGAAAAAATCCCTAAATGCATGCTTTTTGGGATGATATAGTCCTTATTGCGGAGATAAAAGAAGAGATTAACTGTAAACTTGAGTTATGAAGGAGGATATTGGAGTCAAAAGGTTTTCACCTGAATAGGAGTAAGACTTAATATTTGCATATAATTTTGATAAGAGATCAATCAGTAGTAATTTAGAAGTGAAATTGGGAGATCAAATTATATCTCAAGTTGAAAAGTTTATATATTTGGGAGCTATTATTCAACATGATGGGGATATTGATGGGGGTGTTGCACATAGAACACAAGTTGAGTGGTTTAATTGTAGAAGGCTAAAGGGGTTATTTGCAATTGTAAGGTACCTAATAAACTTAAAAGAAAGTTTCATCAAACTGCTATAAGACTAACTATATTATATGGTAGTTAATGTTAGGCTTTAATGGGATAGCAAGAATATAAAGTTGTAGTAGTAGAGTTGAAAATGTTGAGATGGTGTGTGTGCATACACGTAAAGATAAAAGCCAAAATGAGCATATATGAGAAAAATTGGGCGTAGCGCATATTGAGGGGAAAATGGTAGAAAATCATTTGAGATTGTTTGGATATATATAAAGAAGACTGCGAGAGATATTAGTGAGGAGAGTGAAACGGATAATTTTTAGCCTTGTTAAGAAGGGAAGAGAAAGGCCAAAGAGAATACTCATGGAAGTTGTTGATCAAAACCTTTTGTTTAACAATATTTTTAAAAGCTTGGTGAATGATCAAGTACAATGGCGCCGTACAATTCATGTAGCCTACCTCACCTAGTGGGATAAGACTTGTTGTTGCTGTAGTATTCACTTCTAATGCCCTCCTAATGAAATAATAAAAGGGTAAAACTGTCTTTTTGTCTCCAAATGAATCTTTGTTAGTCAAAAATCACTGACTTTGTTGGGATTTGAAAACTAGAGCGGAATTTTTTTCTCTATTAAACAATAATAAAAAATTGAGTTTCACTTTAAAAATGTTCCAAAATAAAGTTTAAGTTTTTTGAGCATATTGCATAAGGTTACACACTAGATACTTTTCTCTTGCTGAGAATGTCTATGAAAAAATTCTGTGGGAGAGACATAGGGACATAGAAATGGAGCTTACATGCCTGCAAATATTTTAGCTGAATTAATCCTTCTATTTTAAATTTTTAATCAAAATCGGTTTATGCCCACTTTCAGAGAGCACAAGGATTTTTTTTTTTTTTTGGGGTTCTTGTGTAAATCCTTAATCAACAAGAGCAGATTGCATTATTGTTAAATTGATCTTTAAACTTTCAGTTTCTGGTGTGCATGCACGCATTCAGAAGAAAGGAGGGGATCTTCTGGTCACAGATTTGGATAGCACCAATGGAACATTCGTTGATGACAAGAAGCTGAGACCCGGAGTGGTTGCTACTGTGTCTTCTGGAAGCTGCATTACATTTGGTATCCTCTCAAACATATATCTTCAGTTAAATCGAAAATTTAATAACGTTTGCCTCTATTTTCCTTAGATCCCCTTTTGTAAATAATTATCTCTCCATCACAATCAATCAACTACAGGTGGTTAAACACAACCATACAAATCACACAACCCAACATGGGTCTGACGTGTGAGCTTATATATAGTGAATGGCGTGAGACAGAGTTTAGTATAGAATAGAAAGAAATTAGACTATTATTTTGCTTTCATGGTAGCTTAAAGTTTTTCTCTGGGTACTATTGTCTGAACCTTGAAAGTTAAGATTTGATTATTATTGGCTCACCATGATATCTTAAAATTTTAAGATTGAATATTTTGTTAAAAATACCGTGACACAACAAAAATACAAGTGTCTTGGTATAATTCTAGAAGTGTTGTGTAAGATGTTTGAATGCAAACATAGTTCCATTTTTGAGTTATCAGATCTGTTTTGCAAAAAAGGATGCATCTCTATTCTCATGCGTGACGTGAACATGATGTGTTTTGATTCACGTGAATTGATGGGAGTTGTTCTCAAGTCCCAAGTTGAAATAAAGAATGGATTGTTTATTTTCAGACAAAGTAGAATGTTCATGACTTTAGAGAAGGGGAGGATTAGTTGGAGCATTAGATAATTGTGATGAAGTGGTTTCAGCATCACAACCCAACATCGGAATATACATGAATGTAATCAAAAGAATTGGTCAGTTGTTATTAGTAAAAAGAGTTTCACGATTTTTGCGTTCAAAATTGTGTAAGGAATTTGTAATTTCTTCATTAAAGAACTAAGTTATATAAAGATGCGGCGTTATAACTCCTTTTGGGGTTGTAGATATATGTGTATTTTGAGAGACCAAACCATGTTAAAACTTCATGTTTTTTCTCATTCCTTCTCTTGCACGTACTTTCAGTCAATATGTCTGCATGTCTGACAGCTCAAACAGATGAATTATGCTGAAGATGCATGCCATACATATACAACATTAAAAAGAAAAAAGAATCCTTTGGGTTTTGTTGATAACTTCATAAGGTTATAGCAGCTTAAGCTCCTTCATGTTTGCCAGGGGATATCCATTTGGCTATGTTTCGTGTATCAAAGATTGAGAATGTGGAGACTGAAGGCAAAGCAGAAGATGAAGAAGAAACTCAAGTGGACTCTGTTACCACACCTGAGAGTACTGAGTCAAGTTGATCAGCTTCCGAGGTTTGTCTTGTGATGATTGATGTATAGACTTAAATTATTAAATCAAATCAATTGTTCGGTTTTGAATTCCTCTCGACATTTGTGTATGATGCTAAGCTGAGCTCTTCTTGTTCCCCGTGTTGAAAAAACCCTGCAAATTTGGAAATGAATAACCATTATTCATAACTTACGAATCATTTGTCTAGTTAATGTCCTAATAGTTATGAATAATGTATTCATAACTTACTAATCATAAGTAAGGGACTAATGTTTTAACAATTAAATTATAAAAATTAAGTTGCAATAATTTAAAGGTTAAAAATTAAATTGCAATTGATTTAAAACTAAAAAAAAGGCACTGAATTACAGTTTAGAGACTGGATTACAACCTATTAAAAATTAAGGGATCAAATAATTAATTTTCTTTATTTATATAAAAAATTTAACCTGATATATTATTACTTATGAATAATGTATTCATTTCCAAAATGAGCTTTCTAGATTATTTGTTTGGATTTGAATTTTTTTTTTCAAATTTAAGTTTTTCCCGTCAAATCTTGATTTTCCTCACCATATATTGTGTTGAAAGGTAATTTTAAGAAAAAAATCATTTCAAAAAATAATTAGATTCAAGAAATTTATTTAAAATGAATTTAATGATTAAAGATTCCAATTAAACATAACAATTGTAAGTAATAATAACAATTAAATAATGTTTATTATTTAAGCCTTTCAAAACATGTTGGGTGGAAGAAAACATGCTCCCACGACCACCGGTGCGATTCACGATGCCCAAAATCTTTAAATAATGCGTAAGTATTAAGAGAATATTTAAATTATTGAGCAGTTCATTTTAATTCTGTATGCAATAATTTGTTTGTATTATATGATTATTCAATTAAATTGTATATCTTTTATGTTCTTTATCAAGTAACACTTGGGTTTAGGATCGGCTAAGGCATGGATTAAAGAAAATTAATTTTCTGGCCATGGCATGGCTACCATGCTTCTTAGGATTGCTCACTTTTTTTAAAAAAAGGCAAATGTGAACTTTCGTTTTCGTTTTTGTTTTTTAACTCCACACTGTTTTATTTTATTCTCTTAATCATATAAAATATTTTTTTCCAATTTTTTAAGTTTAATATTATTATTTTCAATTTGAAAATTGCAATTTGAAAGATTCATTAATAAAAATGTTGGCATTAAATTTTTAAATGTTAACAAAAATATTTTCAAATATTAATATATTAAGTTAAAATAATAATAATTTACACAAAAATTATCATTTTAAATTAATATGATTATAGTTAGAAGATTGAAAAGTTATTTTATAAAATTAAAAAATAAGTTAAAATTTTATATAAAATTACAGAATGAAAAATGCTCTTTATACAATTTTTTAATTTAAAATTTTGCGGTGGCCAGGGTCATGCTTCTTATGACTTGTGCCAAACAATTAACGGAAAACGGCCCATAGTTTTCTTTATAATTGCGAATATTAAATGCCAAAAAAAAAAAAAAAAAAGCTTTTCCCCTTATTTCGGCCGGCGATAAAAGCTCTTCCTTAGACGCCCGCGGCTCCCACTCCGCCACTCTCGCTACGCTTTCCGCTTCGCATTCGCTGTCTCAACTCCGAATAAAACCCTCGCCCCTCGGCGTGCCGTCGCCGCCTCCCTCCATCACTCCTCCGTCGTGCTGCACCGATCTGAAATCTCAAGTGCAACTCTCGTCCTCGCTTCTCGACGCCGTTTCTGCCCTGGTCGAGTTTCAGTCTTCACACCGTTCTTGCTCCAGCGTCCAGGTGCGTCCTTCGCCAGTTCTTCCCCAGTATTTTCTTTGGGTGGTGATTATATGAGCTTGCTCCGTTACAGATCTGTCTGAATTTGAAACCATAGAACTTAGAACCTGTTGCTATTTAATCCTGTTTCGTCCCCCCGGGCTATGATTTTTTCCAGCCGTGACTTTTGCCATCTGAATAAGCAATCAACGAACATGTCAATATAAATAAAGTACACCTACAAGTTAATAGCAAATCCACTTTGCTTCATGAGTGGCCTTTGTTTCTGACTTTTTCACTTCATTGAAAGCTTGAAGCTGAAAAAAATAAAGAATAATTTTAATGTACATGTTTTATGTAATTGAGCCCAGAGTACTCTAATCTCAAAAGTGCAGCTATTTAAAGATGATGAACCGAACTCAAAATTTAAGAGATTTCTAGTATTTTAGTTATAATTAAATTTAATGTTTTTTCATGATTCAAGTTTATAATAATGGTTATGAATTGTGATGGTTTTTTTTTTTAAGCAGCATGGCTGTGATGGTGTTTGAACTTTGAAGTTTGAATTTGTATTATTATCAATTAACTTGTATACGTGTGGTTGTATCAATAAATTGTGAATTGCATTATATTTAAACTTGTTAATAGTTTTATGGTGTTTATTATTTGTATTACATATCATTTATACTGACAACAGTAGCGGCGGAAGTGCAAGTTTTGCATTTTCTTTTTTAGAAAGCAAAAAAGGAAAAAAAAAAAAAGAAAAAGGTCATTGCGAAGAATTTAAAATTTTTTAGAAAAATATTTTTGGCATTTGATTTTAAATTATAAGTCTAATTTCTAAAGTGCGACATCTTAAACGAGATTATAAAGAATTAATTGAGGAGTGAGCTTTTTACCTTGCAATTCAATCTAAAAAAATTACATCACAAGTTTAAAATAAAAAAAAAAGACATAAAACTACAAAAGAAAAGTGAATGGTATTAAAAAATAACTTTTTTAATGTTAAATTTTTATTTTTGAACATTATTCTATAACACGAATAGAATCTATGTTAATAACTGAGCAGTCGGACGCTGAACTGGTAGAATCTAGGTTTTTGTTCTCTCATATTTTCCATAAATAATGATAGGTAGACATTTTTCTTTTACAATAGATCACCTGAAATCAATAGCAACAGGGAGACAAAATTTTAAGCAGAAAAGCCTTATCAAGATTGTGATTTTTCTTGGTTAACCAAAGAAGACTGTTATTATCGACTCGTCATTACATTGAAAGTCAAAACTCCAGGATCAGACTTGGGTAGGAGGAGTTTAGCCCTTACATTGCTGAAAAGATTGTGCTGCCACGGTTTTGGACCTTGGAGCTCCGAAACAGATAAAAAATGGCGGCTTCATGCTCTCTCACCTTCTCATCCAAAACTCCGAGAATTCTTCCAATGCATGGATTCCTCAATCCCAAAACCCAGACATCCAACATCGATTGTAGATTCAACTACATTACCAAGCCGCCCATCCTGCGCGCGTTCATGCCGTTGAGCAAACCCATAGCCCGTCGTCAAAGCACAATTCGATGCCTATTCACGGGCATCGTTGAAGAAATGGGCACAATCAAGCAGCTACGTGTCGCCGATCACGGCGGATTCGACATGAAGATAGGAGCAAAAACCGTTCTCGAAGGCGTAAATCTTGGGGACAGCATCGCCGTCAATGGTACCTGTCTTACAGTGACCAACTTCGATCTGAAGGCCTCTGATTTCATGGTTGGGTTGGCTCCGGAGACGCTTAGGAAAACTTCTCTGATCGAGTTGGAAGCGGGATCGCTGGTCAATTTGGAAAGGGCAGTGACCCCCACCAGCAGAATGGGTGGGCATTTTGTTCAGGGACATGTGGATGGCACAGGGGAGATTGTTTCGATGGATCCAGAGGGAGATTCGTTGTGGGTCAAAGTGAAGACAACGAAGGAGTTGCTGAAATTTATTGTACCTAAAGGTTTCATTGCTGTGGATGGGACTAGTTTGACTGTGGTGGATGTGTTTGATGAAGAAGAGTGTTTCAATTTCATGCTGGTCGCTTACACCCAGCAGAACGTGGTGATTCCTTTGAAGAAAATTGGACAGAAGGTAAATGTGGAGGTCGATATTCTTGGCAAATATGTGGAGAGACTTCTTAGCAGTGGCTTCGTCGACTCCATCAAAAAAAATCCCTCATATGCTGAAAGCTGCTGAATTTTAGCTTTGTGTACATGGCCTTCCATTGAACTACAAGCATGTCTCTATACCTTTTAGTTGAAATTGTTATTTTTATCACGGAAAAAGAACACTCGTAGAATATTTTCTCAACTGTATTTAGCCTTTAGGTGGCTAATTTGAACTCCATTTGACTCAAACTGTGATAACATGTTAATGTGCATTTTGCAGTGGTCATGTAATTTAAGGCAATGAATAAAGGGGTGAGTCTTTTGAGCTGATGAAGTATTTCTATGTCGATATCTGTTTGTGCGTCTGACAAGTTTGTAGATTCATCGACCCAAGAACGAGTAATATGGCTATACAAGCCTTAGTAGTAAATTGTGAATCGAGGAACTTTTTAAAATTTTCTTATGTTTGTGATGTGAGCTCCTAAACTTGATAAAATCCAAGAAAAAATATAATTTTAAGTCTTTACACTTTACTCGAATTTTGTTATAATTCTCGCATTTTTTTTCGATGTTTTAAGTTCTTATACTTTTTGTTTTTCGGTGTTTTGAGTTCTTAAATAATTAAAGTGTAAGAACTTTGTAGGGATTTAAAATGCTGAAAAATAAAAGTGTAGAGACTTAGAGCATAAAAAAAAAGTATAGGGAGCATATGATAAAATAAAAGCAAGTGTAGGAATTTAAAATTATATTTTTGTAGATCTCAACTTGATATTAGCCACTTGAATTAATTAATTTTTAATCGGGTTTTGTCTTCATGCCTTGCTTTGTCCAAAAGCTTGATCAGCCGATAGATGCCGGGAAAGGAACTTCGATTTGATATATTGAAGTCTTTCACCACTGGCATTTGACTATTTGAGCTTGATGAGTCTGATTTCATTGTCTATCCTGCTCAGCTAAAAATAAAGAATGGTGAACACAGAGTTCCATCATGATGGTGATATATAGATACAAAGAGTTCCATTATCAAGTCCAACATAAAAAAACAAAATGAAAAATCGTGAGACATCAAAATTTTATATTTAAAGCAGTGAAAAATATTGCCTTGGCCCTGGCTGGTAACAGTAAGGTCTTGAGAACAAACTCACCTAATTGGTATATATAAAAAAAAAATACTAAATCACTTAGACCTAAAATTTTACAGCAGATTATGACAAAAATGGAAATTTAGAAACTTTTCAACGTCTTACTGGTATATAGGAATCCAAACATCTGGATTATTGGATGTGGTTAGTAAACCAATCATCTAATAGAATGTGGTGCCCTAGGAAGTGAATACTATTTTTCCCTACTGCGTTTCTTCAAACATCACATACATAGGCCACCCAACTTAAGAAAAGAAGAAGAAGAAGAAGCCCCAAAGCCTGCAATTCGTGAGAGCTACACAGAATGCAGTATCTGGTAAAGAAGCAATGAATTTTTACAATAGAAATAGTCCTAGAGTTGTAAACGAATGTGACTTCACAGACTTTTTTATGTAGCATTACTTCAAAACCACCTACTATTGCATATGGGAAAAGCAAAGAGCTAGGAATGGAGGTTAGATAGTTAACAAACCAGGACATTCAGTATGTGCCAAGCATTCCAGCCGAGATAGTAATGGTTGCTTGTAATTCCCTTAAATTAATGAGTGTTAGATTATTTCAAACAACGGGGATGCAAGAACATTTTCTTATAGTCCAAATATGGAAGAGTTCACGATGAAGAGATGTGAAACATGATAAGTGAAGTGATAAAGTACTAAATAATACCTGCAAGGATATCGTGACCTTTGATCTTATAATGCCAATTATTCTAACCTTTCCTTATAAGATCAAAGCAATCCTCTTAGAATTATGGCCGGACACTAAATCTCCCAATAAGAATTCAAATATTGGTTTGCTGCATTACGAGGGTCCAATCCATTTCACTAGACTCAACCTTCATTGACAAAGATTTTCAAGTTTTAATACTTCATTTTGTAGTGACATACAATCATTTTTTTTTTCAAATGAAGTGTCAGCAACATAGACCTCTGAAAATCTGTATTGGAAATTCCAAATCTTTTGAAATATTTTCCCTTATATTCCAAATATCAATATCATTGGGGCTAAAATAGAGTTGCCAAGAAAACAAGTCTCAAAGAAGATACAGATGAAATTGTTTAGTAAGAGAATCTAAATATCTATGAGGTGTCTGACTCTTTTTTCAACCAATTATGCCATTATTTAATTTCTATGTCTGAGATATTTGATAGGCCAAGAAAAATTAAATAGGGAGAATGGCAATGAGGACTCTTAGAAGAGAAAAAACTATGTGAGGGTCGAAAATAACTGAATGTTCATCTATATACCAGTGAATCGATGAAATTATAGTTGTGTATAGATGAATCTTCAATTGTTTTTTATTCTCAGTGCTACTCTTTCTCCTCTGATGCCATCATTGCCATTCTCCCAATTAAAATCTTGTCAACGAGGGCTTGCTTTCACGATCAACAACCACTGAGAGGAGATGGATGTTAATACAACATAAAGGATGGAGATAAATAAAAAAAGAAGTCCTACATTCTACCTTGTATTGAAATCTCAATCCTTTTTTATTATTTTCCATTTATGTTTGTACAAACAATAATTTCTTGCATGAATTTTTTATTGCACACATGTGTTTTAATATTGAGGACAATTCTATTCGAGATATAGTCGAATATTAAATGTCAGGACCTTTCCTGATGAGTGTTCAAACTTTGGTTCGCTATGTTATAATTGACTAGATTCTCTACTAGATTAAACCTTTATTGGTTGGGTAAGTTTTTTTTATTTCAAACAAATTAATTATTGTAAAATTTTCATACACAGGCTTGAAAGGAGTATTCTAAATTGTCTTAGTACCCATTGGAGGAAAGAGGTAATGTAAAAATACCTAATATGTAAAATGAGAAGAACAAGCCTCCATAAGGTGTAATTCTGATAGACAGGTAGAGAATAAAAAAGCCATTGGAGACAAATATATAACTAACAAGTAGCCAATGGCCTTATAACCTAGTAACATGTAAACATTTCTATAATTGGAAGGTTGCAGTTCAATCCCACTTGTAATCTTAGTCATTAGTGCTTGCCCCTCTAATTCAAAAGAAAAAAAAAACTAACGGCCTATATATACCAACAAATCATTTTTAATGTTGTTTTGATCTAAATGTTTATCTATATATTTATTTATGTAAATAATTCTTGTGTGAATTTATTTTATTGTGCACAGGTGTTCTCCTTTAGAGGCAATTCTGTTTGAGACATAGCTGAATATTAATATGAGCAAATCTTCCAATGAGGATTTAAATCTTGGTTCTCCATATTATAATGACCTACCCCTTGTTGGTTGCATAGTTTTTATTTTAAACAAATCAATGATTATGAAATTTTCATATGCTAGCTTGAAAGGAGTATTCTAAGTAGTGTCTTACACTATTGGAGGAAAAGAGGTAATGTGAAAATACCTAATATATGATGAGAAAAACAACCTTGACAAGGTGCAAATTAACAAACAGGTAGAGAATAAAAAAGTCATAGAGAGTAGAACTATTTGTGTGTGCCAGATAAAGCTATATGAGTAATGTTTCCTCTGAATTGAGATATTTATATTAAAAGTTGCTTGTTGTTAAGAACAAAATAATAATGTTTCAATTTTAAGAATCTTTGAGAATAAAATATTACTATTTTATAATGGTGCATAATTAAATCCTAAAGGTATTTTTTTAAAAATTTCTTATGATCTCAATAGAGGAATGAGAATAAAAGTTTAAGAATGACCTTTATGAACTCATTAAAAAAGAGGTTATGAATTCTTATGAAAATAATTTAAAGCACAGCAAATTAATCTTTAAGGCAATGCTTGTGGTGATGATTTACTTTCATACAAAGGTTATAAATTATGAGATTTGAGGAGAGATGCTAGTATTTCAATGATAAGAGCATGTGTATGGGAAAAATTAAGATTGTTGGCATAGGAAAAAATAACTAAGAAGTTAGAGGAGGAAGTATTATATATAAAGAACTAAGAAGTGTTATAAAAAGAAATAGAGCTAGTAAAACTATATTCAATTTCAAGGCACTTCCTTTTCATGCTCATTTTTGCACTCTTAGCCATGTTCTTCTTTCATGGTTCTTTATAGTTTCGTCTACTCACTGTGAGCTCCTCACCATGGTTTCATCTCCTCATCATGGTTTTGCTTCATTTGCTATGATCTCTATAATGACTTATGCAAACAAGGATCAACCTTGGCTACAAACCTCTTAAAAACAAAAACCCTTGGATTGGGATCCTAAAAATAGATTATAAAACAACAACCCTTGAAAACACTTCAAATTAAAGGAGGAATTATTGCTAAAACATGATAAAGGTTTAGCACTGAGAAAGAATTAAAATAAGGGAAAAATACCAATATAATAAAGCTGGAGCATTTTACCACGATTAAAGAACCATCTATTGAAGAAACCTTGCACAACACACTGTTGTGGTCAAACTCCAAATCCATTGCAGGTAACACTCTACAATGTCATTTGCCATAGCCAATTGGCGTAACAGCATAGAATTATGTAGAATCTAACTTCAATGCACAAATCTAACTTTTAATGTAAGGTCTCCCTTAACTTAACCACATTTAACTCCATAACTAAGGTAATCAAAGGATTAATTCTCAAAGGATTACCAAAATTGTAAAATTACATAAAAGAGAAAAAATTCTGAAATCATTTATAATAGGATCCCAAAGTTCAATTTCAATCACTATC